CCCCTCTATCGGGCACTGGTCAGACTGCAGTTGGAGTACTGCGTGCAATTCTGGGCGCCGCACTTCAAGAGGGATGCGGATAACCTGGAGAGGGTCCAGAGAAGGGCCACTCGTATGGTTAAGGGCCTGCAGACCAAGCCCTGCGAGGAGAGACTAGAGAACCTGGACCTTTTCAGGCTCCGCAAGAGAAGGTTGTTAGGCAACCTTGTGGCTGCCTATAAGTTCATCACGGGGGCACAGAAGGGAATTGGTGATTTTTATTCACCAAGGCACCCCTGGGGGTTACAAGAAATAATGGCCACAAGCTAGCAGAGAGCAGATTTAGACTGGACATTAGGAAGAACTTCTTCACAGTTAGAGTGGCCAAGGTCTGGAACGGGCTCCCAAGGGAGGTGGTGCTCTCCCCTACCCTGGGGGGCTTCAAGAAGAGGGTCGGACTCGATCTATTGAAGTCCCTTCTGACCCTAACATCTATGAATCTTGTGTTGCTGCTGACATGGACAGAACTAGAAGTGGGTGGTACTTGTTCTTCCTGAAAGGAAACATCTATAAAGCTGTTTTGTCCAATTTAAAAACTAATCAGTTAGGATTTTTAGAAGCAACAAATATGTAACTGATGCCAAAGCCTTGCTTACCTGTATGTTTTCCTCCCTGTCTGGCATTGGCCCAAAGTGCTGAAGGATTTGGGTGCGAAATTTGTTCCTTAAACTTCGGAACCAGCGGCAGGCTTGATTGTACACGAAGTCATGAAGTTTTCTCAGTTTCTTTAGATCTTCTTCATCTGCAACCTATAAAAGAATATTAGTGTACAACACATATACATAATAAGGTACAGGAAACAGAAGCAATTAAAACAGCCTATGAAAAATATTAAGTCTAAGATGCTCTAGTCCAGCTAATAATAAATTTAACTTCCTGCATTCTTCCCAGTTATGAGATGTGGTAATAGTAGAGGAAAGCAGTACCAAGAAGCAGAATTCATGTAAACCAAAACATTGCTAGTGGCAAACATAACAAAGAAAAGTTAAAAACAAGTGCTTGCCTAGATGGTATTTAGGCTCTTGCTTTACAATAACTGTATGTAATCCTATTCTACAGATCCCCTTCCCCACCCCCCAACGTTTTTTGTCAATACATTCAGATCAATTTCCGTTGATTTCTAGAAGCCAATACTTTGAAAATGACATTCAAATTTCTGAATGGCTATTACCTGTCAAAAACTAAACTCTCTCATTTTAAGTTTAAAAAAAATGGGTATTGGTAAGAAACCAAGCCCAACATCAATTCTTATTTCAGAAGAGTTAAGATTGATTTTACAATAAAGCCAAAGCCCAGATAATTTGTAACTTCAAAATGTTTTAAACAGCTTCAGCTATTATCTTTCCCCATGCTTTGAACCATGTCTTCCAGCAATGGTCTGTGATCAGGAACATCCGGGGTGGGGGTGGGGGGGAAGGCAAATCGGGGTGACTGCCCCAGATCCTGCGGTCAGTGCTGTATAGGCCCCGCCACAGCCACCACGCACTGCTGCTGCTGAGAGCCGCCAAGTGCTGCCGCTTCTGGCCGCTCACCACTCTGCCCCCCACTGGCTGATACGCCCTGAGCCCTGCACACCCGTAGGGCTGGCTTTGTCTGTGATTTTTGGTATTTGAACCAGGATCCTAAAAAACAGGCACAGGAGAAAAAAAGGTGACCAAGACGAGTATTACTGCCCAGAAAGTTTTGTATACCTTAACATCTTCCAAATATTCAATATCTGCTGTGCAATAGCCATCTTTCATCCCTCTTCGTAAAACTCTAAATCTTTTGCCACCAACTGTATCAACAACAGATCGCCCATCAGGTAGAAAATGAATATTCCTAATTTGCAGCATACAACCATAATCTGCAAAACTAGAACAAGAGGCAATGTCAGAATCTACCAATGTTATACATGTAATTTTTGCAATTGAAAACAGGAAATATGCTGACTGCTTTCTGTAGGAATGCATACCCACCTGTTCTGAGAGTCACTTATACACATCCCGAACTGTTTAGTCCCAGCTTCCATACTTCTGCGAATCATCAGTCGGTATCTTGGCTCAAACACATGAAGAGGGCAAGGCACAGTGGGATATGCCATAGTGCAAACAAATACTGGAACATTCTTGGTCAAGCTTCAAATAAAAACAAAAAGATTAAATACATGACTTCCAAACTATCCGCAAAGTTGTGCCTAGTCATAATACATTTTTTTTTTTGCCTAAGACCAAGTAAGTTCCCAGTGCTCCCTTTGTTTTTTTGTTATACTTGAAGTCAAAGAATCCATGCAAGTGTAATATTTCTTGCTCTATAGACACTGATTAAAAAAAAACTAATAGATGCATCAAGGACAGTGGTCTTTCTTTTGAAGTACTTATAACCAGCCCACCAGTGAGGATTTTTTCTTAATTTCTTTATCACTTAGGAAAGCACTGAAAGAACATCTATTCCACAAGACTGAGTAGTTTGTGAACATTATTTTGGTAAAATATTAAAGAATACTTTCTGAAGTTGCAGTTATTGGAAGTCACTACCGGATTTCTAGGAACTGAAATAACTAGAGAGCATGAGAAAGCAAAACTTATATCCAACTATAGAACTCTCAAAATAACAGCAACCTAAAAGAATGATACTGACTTGCTCAAATAGTTCTACAAGTTGCTTTTTATCAAACATTATGTATTTACCAGAAGCAGACCCACAAACATAGCATTGCATGGTTATCAGTTCTATCTTTGCTTTTCAGACTGTACAAAAATTTGAATGTTAGCATTTTGCTTGGTATTGCAAACTGTAAGAACTGTAGTTTATCAATAATATTTCTTAAATATTTATAAAAAGACAGCCTGAAACAAACAAACAAACAAATTTCCACCCAAAATGTTTCTAAATACTAAGGGTAATCTCCAAATATACAAGTAAAACATTACAGAAAATACATTTTCACTTGTAGTTTACTGTGTTCCATCATATCTATCAGGGGTGTAGGTTGATACCTTATAATCTGCCTGGCAACTGACTCCCCAGCCCAGCCCCTGGCTTCTTTACTTTTCATTCCATCCAGGAAGAGCACACACCAACTGCTGAAACTTCCTTAGCCTGACGAAGGGTTTTTGAACTCAAAAGCTTGCTTAATAACTATTCTCCAACCATTTGGGTTGGTCTAATAAAAGATATCAAATTCACCCAAGGAACCTTGTGTGTCATCATATCTATCACGCACTAATCGGAGGGAAACTTTGGATAAACATTACTCCCAGCTTCTTTAAGACTATTTACCAGTAACATGCTAATTTAGGTCCACTAAAAGACTCTGATATATAAAAAGCATGAATTTCATTATAGGCCACACTCATTGCGAAGGTAATCTTAGAAAATTAAGTGACAGTTGATAATGTTCCCTTGGCCTTTATGAAGGAACATAATGCAACTATAAGAGGTTATCATTAGGGTCCTACAAGTTATAATTTTTTTCTGAATGATGTTTCTGTAAAAGACAGTAATCCTTCTTTCAAGAAACCTTAGGAAAATAAAAACGTAGCAACTTACTTTGAGTATTCAGCAGTTTCTTCATCATGAATTCTCTTTCTCTCAGATAATTCATCAGACAAGTATTTCACAATCAATTCTTCTAGTAGTTCTGTGACACAGTATTTCCTGCTTGCCAGATACTAAAGCAAACATTTTTTACAGTTATAAATTTTATTAGGGTTAAACTTTCTCTTTCAATTGTTTGTAAAATTCTTGCAAAAACTGCTCCTTTAAATTAAATTTAGCTTAATGGACCATCTCTGTTTCAACATTAGAGGAACCTTGCTAAAGTCACAGCTCTGAAATTCTTACCTACCCTCATTACTTCTAACACTTTAAATTACTGTAACTGAAAGATTAGAAAGAGTTCTTTCAGTTGACTTGGCACATTTAATACAGGAATGGGCAATTATTTAGGCTCAAGGGCCACTTAGGAAGCTTTGGTGAGCTGCTGTGGGCCAGGTCAGCAGCTTCCTCCTTCCTCTCCCCTGTGCCCCTGCCCCAACAGCTCACTAAAACTCCTTAAGTGGTAGAAACTAGACCAGCCTGAGGGCTCCAGGAGTGGGTGGGTGGGGTTTCCATGGAGACTGGCTTGGGACCCCTGCAGGCAGAGCATGCTCAGCTGGGTAGATGGGATGGGGCTGGGGGCACAGAACAGCATCAGGGAGTGGGACAGGCAGGTGGGGCTGGGATCAAGGGGTGGTGTCAAGCTGCAGCTGTGCTATACTGGAGCTTCCTGTGTGTGCCTGTGCTGGGGTGGGGGCAGGCTCATAGGCATGTGCTCTGCCCCTTTCCTGGGTCAGGCCAGTCATGATCTGCCAGGCAGGGAGAGGATCATGGCTCTAACTCAGCCCGGGCCCCATACTGTCACCAGCCCATGATCCCAATCTTGACCCTGCCTGCCCACCCCACTCCCACATGCTGCTCCCCCATCTGCTCAGCACCTGGGAACACCCACCCTGCTCCCAGATGCTGCTCTCTACCCACTTGTGGCCCTATCCTACCCGCCTGGCCAAGCACACCCTGCCCACAGGGGTTCCAGGCCAGTCTCCAGGTAGACCCCACCTAACTGCTCTCTGGTACCCCCAATGGTGGGTTCAGGGAAGACAGGTTAGGGTGCCTGGGCAGCAGGGCTGTGTTTGGCAGCAGTAGCGACACTGGCAGTAGGAGCTGGAAGAAACTGCCAGGAAGTGGAGTCCAGCTACTGCCCTGCCCCAAGCCCTGCTGAGTGCCAGGGGCAGTGAGACCCACCACACATGCCTGGGCTACCCCCGCAAGCCTGGGCTTGTCTGGGCAGGGCTGAGGGACGGATCACAGACCAGATAAAATTCCTTGGTGGGTCAAATTTGGCCTACAGACTGTATTTTACCCACCCCTAATTTAACAATACTGAAATTGACAAGACCCAAGTACTACCCCTGTAAAGTCAGTTTCTTCAAACTTCGTAACAGCAGCGAAAGAAACCAAGATTTGCAAGCCTTATAAAAGC